CCATTAAGACTGGAGATCTCTATTGTCCTACCTCTCCTACATGTTTGATATAGGAGTTGAAGAGAAGCTAGATTATACCTGCCCACCCATTCACCCATCCATTTGTTTGTTTGTTCTTTATTTATTCATTTAACAAAACTGTTTTTGCATATCTGAGGTCCCAAGCATTGAGGATACACAGTTCTTGTTCAGAAAAGGAAGCTGATAATTGTGATGCAATAAAATTAGCACTCTAATAACAGCAACATGCATTGAACTCATTAGATACCAGGAACTTTGCTATGAGTTATAAATGAATATCTACAATACTCAGATAAGGGTTTGGCTATTACTCTGTCTTTGGAGGAACAGAAAATCTGGGGAGATAAAGTCCTAAACAGCCTGGAAGTAGTGAACAACAACAAAAACCTTAAGCCCAAACATTTTGACTTGAAATTTGGGTCCTTAGCCACGCATTTCCAGATTTGGGGAAAGATGATTAAAACTACAACAATGAGTAACAATGACTAAAAGCCACAACAAGAACTACCTGCAATGGCTCTTGAAAGCAAAGTAATGCTTTACATGAGGGCATGTTTGTGCTGGTGGCGATTTTTAAGCATAAAAACATATGTGAAGGCCATGGAAGGTGTGTTGTCAAGGGGAAATGAAAGTGAGTAAATAGATTTGGAGGGTTATGTGGGTGTTCTGGTTTCTCATTAGGCAATAACAAAACACTCCCAAACTTAGTGACTGCAATAACCACGATCACTTATTTTGCTCACACATCTGCAATGTGGGCAGGGTGGGTGGGGTCAGCTCCTTTCCACTCCCCGAAGTGACTGGGGGCCTGTGTGAAGGATGGCTGGGCACCTGGAGCCCTCATGCATTTCTAGCTTTCGGTGATCTGTTCTCATGGCCTCTCAAACGTGGTAGCTTAATGGAGCTGAACTTCTCATACAGAAGCTTAGGTCTCCTAAGGTGCATGCTGCACACGAGATTGCCATACAGTAGGTATATTGCCTCTTCTGACCCCGCCTAGGAAATGACATTGCCTAACTTGTGCCAGACTTAATTAATTGAGGTGGTCAACAGGTCATGTCCAAGTTCAAGGGGATGGGACATAGATTCGTTCTCTGAGTAGGAAAGTGGCAAGGCTCTGTATGTGGAACCAGAAATACTGTTATGACATGTGTTTTGGGAAATAAAGTGGAATAACGGTAGGTAGTGTAATGTAGTCATTAAAAACAGACCTAGGGTATGATGAGCTTTGATCTCAACTATGGGCTTGACTGCTTACTAGGCATAGTACTAAGCTCTTTAAAAGAAGTATCTCGTTGAAGTTTAACAACACACCTATGAAGAAGAACTATTCTTATTCCATTTTATAGACAGAGAATTGAAGATCACATTGGTAAATAGCAAAGATAGGATATGAACCAAGGTAACTGTTCTATCAGAGCCTGTACCAGAATAGTTTGAATTTTAACCAGGAGACTGTTGGAAGCCACCAAAGAACTTTAAACTGGCTAGTCCTATGGCCAGTCTTGCTCTGTAGAAAACAATATAGAATCTGAACCAGGAGCTGGCAGCAGGGAGAGCAGTTAGAATATAGTTGCTCTAATCCAGGTGAGAAATATTGAGATAATCTGAAATACTGAAGACATGAGTAGTGTGGGAGATGTGGAGGAGGCCCAGTGAAAGTAGTGGCAGTCATCCTTGGTTACTGATCGGATGTGCAGAGAAGGAGAGGGAATTTCTGTAGACGTTAAGTCAGCTTTGAGTGCAGACACTGGCATGTGCATTATTACATGGGGCTTAAGTGGAGAAAGAAAACAGCTCCAGGGTGTCTTCTAACCTAAAGCATATTTCCTAAGTCCTTGCACACTCAGTCTAGACGGAAAACAAACAAACCAGACTCCTCTGGAAGCTCTCAGATCTCTTACCTTGCAATTCTAGCTCTCAAATTCCATGCTGAGCTTCCTTTCCCACAGCCCACACCCCTGTCCCAGGGATCACAATGGTTGTTTGTATGTTCTAGGTGGTTCCTTCCACATCAGGGCCTTGGGACAATGACCTAAGGCTGCTTTCTCCTGTAACTACACATACAATTTGCTGGTTCCTAAAAAGGATGACTTGGTGCTGTGGTGTGGTCTTCAGGGGGCTCTTCCTAGGAGGTACTTGTTGGCTGTGTCAGTTAGTTTCATGGTGAACTTCCTTTGGAGGGACAATATGTGCTTCAAAGGACAGAGAAAGAACATGTGTCACTAGATAAGGCATTCCATATCTCTGATTAAGGACTTTAATCTATCACTGGGTCAAGGTCTGAGAAGCTAAACTGGCTCTTAGGAAAGTGAACTAGAACAAGCAAAGAAACCCACAGACAACCCCCAACCTTTTGTTGTTGTTGGTGGTTTCTTGATTATGAAAATAATTGCTTTTTCAAATTATTTTTTTAAACTAGAATAATTTCTGCAATTAAAAAAAGTTACTGTGACTTTGTCTGATATAGTATTTACTTGCTTGTGCCTTCAATCTCTTTTTTTTCTTTTACTAGGATTACTTTCTGAAAAGTAACTTTATCCTTAAACTACATTTTGAATACATTATTGCCTCTCCTAATGGGCCAGGGAGGTTGGCATTTAACTGAACAGCTTTCGTTAGATGTAGTAGGTACTCCATTTAACTCAGTATTTCAGACAAGAAATCACTTGGGAAGAGAGTATTACCCTAATTGTTTGAACACTTGTCTATGCACATTGCTTGGTCATTCAGTATCGTTATTAACTCTATCGTTGGCTCTCGGTGTCTAAAGTTATAAACTAGTGCCCTAACTGGTTTGGCTCAGTGGATAGAGCATCGGCCTGCGAACTGAAAGGTCCCAGGTTTGATTCTGGTCAAGGGCATGTACTGTGGTTATGGGCACATCCCCAGTAGGAGGTGTGTAGGAGGCAGCTGATCGATGTTTCTGACTCTCTGTGCCTCTCCCTTCCTCTCTGTAAAAAATCAATAAAATATATTAAAAACATAAAGTTATAAACTAGTTAAGCTCTAAGTCCATAAGGTCCCGAGATACTCACATAGTTTGGTCATAGTCCTGTTTTAGGATCTCAAACCTAGCTTTCCTTAATAAGCAGGGGGAGGCTGAAACTTTCTCCTTTAGAGAAATCACTCACTGTTCCTCCATTACAATTCAACTTTTTTCATTTATAAAGAACCCCCCTCTCCCCCAACAAATGAGCTGCTCTATGGTTTAGAAATTTCCCCCATAAATGGGGATTTCCAATGAAACCCATCATATGAAACCCAAAATGGGAGTAAATAACTGATGAGGTCATATTCTTGTTATGGACTACTACAACATAATGGAGTGGAAAAAAATTAGAATATAAAAGAGTCTGGTTTCTGTTTAAAGGTTTTTTTGCTTGTTAAAAAAAACTCCCAAACCACAAAACATTGGGTCAGAAAAAAAAAAAGCCATAGTTTGATCATCTAAGCAACTTTTTCATTAATTAAACCTTGCATGTCGGGGATGATTTTTTTCTTTTTTTCCAGAAGGAAATCTCTTTCTTGGGACAGTTTCAGCCATTTAACCGCAGTTTCCAAGCATATATTATAGAGCAAATAACTGGCAATCATTTATCAGTCATAAAGATAAGCCAAGGATTGGGAGTACTTTTGTAGGTCATGTCACCTGACAGAAACTTTGGACTGATCCTTTCCTGGTTCAAGAGTTCAGCCATAAGACTTACTTTCCCTATCAGCTGGCTCAAGTTGATAAGGTTCTGAAGCAAGCAAAGGTTCTTTATGAGCTTTTATTTGTCTTTATGACATAAGGGTTGGAGGGATTAGGTTATACAGAGTTACTTCTGGTTAGTTTAGTTTTCTTTTGAATAACTCACTCTCTTTTCTGATTGGACAAGGAAAATGGAGTTGGATTAAACACTTTTCAGCAAATTCCTAATGCCTAGTATAGAGCCTTTATCGCTGACAGGTTTCCTGTGAGTGCTTTTTAAAGAATAATATACTTATAAACTTAGCCTTAGATTAGTGATTGGCCAATGGTAAACATGATTCAAGAGCAGAGTAATTAAGCAAGAGTATTGTGTGCCCATCAAATGGATTAGACACAGGTGATGGATATGAGGGTGAAATTGAGGGTATCTGAATTCTCTGAAATGGCATATGAGATATTGTCTTATTAGACTCAGCCTAGTCTGTCTTCTTTCCAGAAATTTGGCCACAAAGGAGTTCATTCAGAGGTGTTACCCCAATAGTGGTATTAGACTTCAGTGGGTTCCAGCTCCTAAGCTCCTCTGAAAAGAACTAAGTGCTAGATCTCCCATACTCGATCTCACTCACTTGCCCTGCTACTTTGAGCCACTTCCTTTCTTCCTTTCTTCTTGGTGTGGTGACCACCAATAGTAGGACATTTCCTGTAGCTTCCATCCTAGCTTGTGTTCCAGACCTGACTCTGTCACAGACTTACTGTTGATCTTGTAGAAGTCAACTAACTTCCCTGAGCTATACCTTCTTTCCTGAGCTTTATTTATTAATAAATACATAAACAAATAATTACTTACTTTACTAATCCTATATTCTATTATTCTCCAGAATAGACGCTAGAATAGTTTGAAGCCAACACATGACCTACTGTTTATTATTTTCTCTGCTAAGATGCAGATATGAATAATTTTTTCTTTAAAGGTTGGGCTTAATTCTCTGATAACAGGTAGCTAAATACCTCTTATTCATCCATATGAATATCCACTGGGTACCTGATAGGTAACCAAGTAAAATTCATGTCTGTGACTGAGGATCTAAGAATCTCTTCTGGTACTAACCCTTGGATGCATGAAGGTTGAAAACCATAAAGTTTCGTTCTCTAATAGGACTGTGATTCTAACATAGATTTTCAGACATCTTGGAATACAAGAGATGAAGATATACTTTTTACTGACAGCTTACTATATGCTAGATCTGTTGCTAAACATCTACAATCTTATTTAATTCTCTCACAGTGTGGACATTTCCTCAGACCCACTTGGTTTGACTGGGAGAAGAGCATTCCCAAAAGATTGTGAGTAAAGTTTACTAAAGGAGTTACAATGGATAGATAAAACAACAGTGTTTCACTATATGTGTTCCAACAATCCCCATGATATTTTCAGTATTTTGTAAGAGTTTTAAAACTTTGCCAAACAATGACAAAAGTTTTAATCTTATAATATTTTCTTCTTATTTATATGTTACCTGAATTATTTTCAAATTAGGATGAGGAAATGAGAGTCTGTCTTGAAAATGAGTTCAAGTCCACAGGCTGAGAACTAAAGGAAATGAGGTCAGGCCTAAAATAAATCTTAGAAAGCTAGACTTCTAATCAAAACGAAGTGAGCCAAATTATAAGGTTAGTGCTGTGCCTTTTTCAGTTCACCGTTGATTATTTTTATTGGCATTAGTTAAGAGTAGGGTGGTATGGTGAAAACAGTGATGGAACTAGAAAACCCATGTATTAGTTTTTTTGTGTTTTTTGTTTTTATTTGTTTGTTTTGTTTTGTCACTGTTTAAAATCAATACAAACATAGTGGCTTAAAATAATGCCCATTTATTATCCCACAGTTCCTGGGCACAGTGTAGGTCAGCTCGGTTCTCTGCTTAGAATCTCATAAGGTCAAAATCTAGGTAAGAGCTGGGGCTGCAGGTCTCACCCAGAGCTTAGGTCTCTTTCTAAGCTCACTGGTTGTTAGAAGAATTCATTTCCTTCTCACACCTTCCACATGGCCCCTTCCATCTTCAAGCCAGCATTAGTACCTCGAATCCTTCTCATGCTTCGACTCTCTAACTTCCCCCTCTGCCATATTTCTCTCTGACTTTTTTTCTTCTCTTTGATCACTGGCAGAAGGAGCTTTTAAGGGCTCCATGTAATTGGATTAGATTCACCTGAATAATCTTTTAATAAGGTCAACTACACCATATAACATAGCAGAGTCATGGGAATAAATGACATTTCATCACATTTCACACATCACTGGGATTAGGTTATGAACTCTTAGGAGTCATTCCTAGAAATTCTGCCTACTGCAACCTTGCACCTGGGTTGGATTTGACTAGGTGTTAGCTAGTTAGCCCCCCTGAGCCTCAGTTTGATCTTTGGTAAAAGTGAGCTTTAAGGCTACCTGCCCTCCTTACCTCACAGGATCCATGTCAGGTTTCAGTGAACTAGCACATGCCAAACAATTTCCAATTCAGTTTTACAGACATTACTGCATTTCATTGGGGATACGGAGCTTCACACATGGAGACTTTGAAAGACTATAAAAATATAAGTTTTTTTCATACTATAGGCTGAAAATGCTGATATCTGATACAAATAATTAACTTTATTATTTACTTCTTTTTTTTAAATATATTTTATTGAGTTTTTAAAGAGAGGAAAGGAGAGAGATAGTTAGAAACATCGATGAGAGAGAAACATCGACTAGCTGCCTCCTGCACACTCCCCACTGGGGATGTGCCCGCAACCAAGGTACATGCCCTTGACCAGAATCGAACCCGGGACCTCTCAGTCCGCTCTATCCACTGAGCCAAACTGGTTTTGGCATATTATTTACTTTTAATTATGCAAAACCTTAAAATCACAAACCTAAAAACTGCAAGCAAAACACCTTAAAGCCAATAAAACATTTTATAGAGTTCTCTTAAAAGGACTGTATAGAGTTCAAGTAAAAATATATAGTCCTCTTAACAGGGCTCCACCCACATATATCAACTAAACTATGCGGTTGCCAAAAACAACGAAATCTCTAATTTCAGATTCTAATTTCAGATTCTCTAATTGAGCCTTAGGCTTAATTAGCATCAAGTATGCAAATAATTAACTTCAAACTCCGATTACTGTTACCTCCATCTCCACCATCACAACCTCTTGTGTTACCTGCTACTTATTCTCAGAAAGCTCCCTCTTAAATCTGGTCTTGTTATGATGACCCATTAATCTTCTTAGTCTTACTCTAAACCAGTGGTTCTCAACCTTGGCTGCATATTAGAATCACCTGGGATTTCTTTGTTATAACAAAGAAACAGAATTTCTGGAGGATGAGGCCCAGAAATCAGGATTTAAAAAAGATTCCCAGGTGATTCTAATGTGCAGCCAAGGTTGAGAACCACTGCAAACTACCCTAACTGCAGTAAATGGCCTAATTCCTCCTGTTCATTCCGCAAATAGCTCCTTGCTTGTGTTAGTTCAGGCCCTCCAAGAAGCAGACGACGTTAGATGTGCATGAGATTTGTTGAGGAAAACTTTGTGGGAGAAAATGGAGAGAAAGCTGGAGGAGGCTGGGCGGGCCATCAGATCACTCTGCAAAACTGTTTCCTGTGAAGGAGGGAAAGAAGGAAAGCAAGGAAGAAAGTTTTACAAGGTTAATTGGAAGTCCTTATGCTAAAGTTGCCCATCAGAGTAATCCTGCATCTTCCAGGAGCGGGCCTGTCTTAGGAGCCCTGCCGTGCTTAGTCATGGCTGCGGCAGCTACAGAAAGCATGGCTTTAGAACAAATGTGATGACGAATTTCAGAGGGCTGCAGCCGGGACCATCAGTCTAGGATGCTTCCCACAGGAGCCACCATAATTACTATCTCGGTAAGCTGCTTTTTTGGTACATTCATGAGATAATGGCCTTCTCTTTCATGCCTTCAAATGTTAGGTCACAAAAAGGCTGATTATTCAAATTCATGTGGCATCTCTGACTGAATATTTTCCATTCATCACATTTTATTTTAAAAGACTTTTACTAATCAACTCAATTCACCATTACCAGCTTGTTTGCTTCTTCTGTCTTCTCTCTATAAGTATTATTATTATTATAATTTATGCATGATGGCCTGGATCTTGAACCTCCAATCCTCAATGAGCCCACCAATAGTGATTAGAGATTTTTAACTGAAGAAATATATCAAAGGAAACTTCATTACTATGAACCAAGGTTTGGACGCCAGACGCACCTCTTACCTCACCAAGCACCTGGAAAGAAAGCAATGAAATGATTTAGAAGAGAGAGATGTCTGAAAAGCGAATGATACAGAACAATAGAACTTTTAACCTTGTTTTCTGTCTCAAAACTCCGCATTCCTTGGGACTCTTGGTTCACTTAGGTGTCTTTGTTCCAGAGCTCTTTCTCCCTGGATGAAGATGAGGGCAAGTGGACGAGGCAGGAAGGGGTGGGTGGGGATTGTGCTCCCTTCAAGGTTCCTCCAGAATCGTTTCTAGGTGTTTATCAGTTTGGAGCACATGTAGTTGGGGGAATTCCTGGTGGTTTTCTAGGGTAAACAGGACACAACTTCTTAGAGGGTACATTCCCCCCAACAATTTGAGGGGAAATTTCTTTTATATGAAACAAATATGTATATTTGCATGAAATTTGTGCAAGGGAGGGGGTGTCCCTCAGCCTGGCCTGCACCCTCTCCAATCTGGGACCCCTCGAGGGATGTCTGATTGCCTCTCACAATTCGGGACCGCTGGCTCCTAACCGCTCACCTGCCTGCCTGCCTGCCTGATTGCTCCTAACCCCTCTGCCCTCCTGCCTGATCACCTCTAACCATCTCTGCTTGCCTGATCACCTCTAACTGCTCCCCTATCAGCCTGATCACCCCTAAATGCTCCCCTGCTTGCCTGATTGCCCTTAATCTCCTCTGCCTCATCCCGCACCTGGGACCCAGGATTCCCTCCTCTGGCTGGCCACAAACATCCAGGACCTCGGCTGGCTTTGCCTGGGCCAGCCACAACCACAGGGGACCATGGGCAGGTGGCTTTGCCCGCATCACAGCCACAGGTGCCCGGGACTGTGGGGCAAGCAGCTTGTCCCTCTCCTGGGCCGCAGCCTGGCTGGTTCCCATTCCTCTCTCTCAAGCTCATTCTAAGGGCATCTAACCCACATGACTAAGAACATGCCAAGGGAGGAAAGGCCAGGGGAGGGCCTGAACCACATGACCAGTGATATGAAAGGTCAGAGGGTCTAAACTGCAAAACCAGGATATGCTTGGGGAGGAAAGGTTATCCAGTCCAGTTTTGCACATTGCTAGGTACCCAGGGCTTTCCATTCTAGTGACCTTCCCTACTGGCCTATTGTCCTATTCTGCTCAGGACTAACTGCCTACTACACAAGAAGGGGTGTGTGTGTGTGTGTGTGTGTGTGTGTGTGTGTGTGTGTATGGAGAGAATATAAAATTCATCTGGATTTTAAAAATAAATTATGACACTTCAAACATATATTGTTTTTTGGGGCCACTTTATACTTATGTTTAGATCTCCTTGTATTATTATTCACTATTTTAAGCTGTTTGTTATATCTTGTTGAACTATCCAAGAAATTAGAGTGTGTCCAAACATTCTCTTAGCTCTTTTGTCTCTTTCCAAAGTTGGATCAAATGACATTGGACATTGCCAGCTTCTTCTATTTTTTTAAAAATATATTTTATTGATTTTTTCAGAGAGGAAGGGAGAGAGATAGAGAGTTAGAAATATCGATGAGAGAGAAACATCGACTAGCTGCCTCCTGCACACCCCCCACTGGGGATGTGCCCACAACCCAGGTACATGCCCTTTACCGGAATCGAACCTGGGACCTTTCAGTCCGCAGGCCGACGCTCTAGCCACTGAGCCAAACCGGTTTCGGCATTGCCAGCTTCTTAATGTTTTGACAGCGATCTTAGGATATTATGTAATTGATTATTATTATTTTAAAATATATTTTATTGATTTTAGAGAGAGGAAGGAAGAGGGATAGAGAGATGGAAATACTGATGAGAGAGAAACATCAATCACATCAATGGGCTGTCCCCTGCATGCCCACCACTGGAGATTGAGTTCACAACCGGGACATGTGCCCTGACTGGGAATCGAACCATGACCTCCTGGTTCATGGTCTGATGCTCAAACTCTGAGCCATACAGGCTGGGATGTAATTGATTATTTAGATTAGATTTCCCAATGTGTAGTAAGACTGAACGCAGAACTTTACATTATAGACAGAGATTAGCTTTCAGGAGGTGTGGAGATGAGCCAGCCAGGATTTATTTCTTCAAGAGTATTTATTGAGTGCCTTCTATATGCTGGGAGCTATTCCTCAGAATGTGATATTGCTGTGAGCAAGACAGAATAGCAATACAAATGAATAAATAAGAATACAAATTAAAGCATTCCAATAGTGCTTTAATTTCTGGGATAGGAATAAAGCAAGAAAGGGATTACAGCCTACTTGGTGTTGAAGACAGTGATGGCTTCTCTGTGGACTTGACATTTGGCCTTAGACCAAAATAAGGAGAAAGAGGCAGTCAGGTGAAAATGAGGGAAGAATCTTTCAGGAAGTAGCCATGGTAAATGCAAAGGACCTGAGACAACTTGGCTCTTTGGAGGAACACAGAGAAAGCTAGTGTGTGCACCACAGTGGATGAAGGTTGAGTATTTGGAGAAAAGGCAGGGGCTAGACCAGTGGTCGGCAAACTGCGCCTCGCAAGCCACATGCGGCTCTTTGGCCCCTTGAGTATGGCTCTTCCATAAAATACCGACTTCTGCGCATGGGCTGCGAAGTTTCAATCGCACTGTACGTGTGCGCCTGCGTGTGGCATTTTGTGGAAGAGCCACACTCAAGGGGCCAAAGAGCCGCATGTGGCTCACGAGCTGCAGTTTGCCGACCACTGGGCTAGACCATATAGGGCTCTGTAGGTAATAGAGAGGAGTTTGGCTAATCTTCTAACTACAGTGGGGCCTTGATTTACGAGTTTAATTCGTTCTGAGACCGAGCTCGTTAACTCAAATTACTCTATCAACTCAATGCAAAAAATCGGCAGAGAGACAGCTGGGATCTCAAAAAACTCGTTAGTCGGGACACTAGTAAGTCAAGGCCCCACTGTACAGTGAGAAATTACTAGAGGGCCTTAAGATGAGGAATTTTACCACTAGTCAGATTAAGCCAAAGAGTAAACCATCTTTTTTCTGAATAACTTGACTAAAGAGGATTTTGTGGCTATGGATATGCATGAAGATTAAGCAGAACATGGAAGAAGGACCTCAACTAAAATTGACCTCACTTAAACAAGAGAGGAGGACAAAATAGAGGATTGTTAAAAGGATGTAAGGATAATGACTTCTAATAATCAATGAAATGTTGTATTTTATTATGAAGAAACATGGTATATATCTTATATATTCCAGAAGAGATTCCCACTTAAAGTCATTGAAAAAAGTATTTTATGTTTACAGCAATAAGCCTTTTAAGACACGTGGAAATTCACCTATCTAGAGCTTGAT